AATCGCCTTTAAAGTTGTCCAATTGAAGTTCTTAGCAATGCATATTACTAATCAAAAATTACGTTTTGATATATTTATGGTAGGAAATTTACAAAATATCTTCCTGGAACATGATATTTACTTAATATCCTAATGATTTTTGGCATAAAAGAAAAATCGATAATTTTGACCCATACAATGTTTTTTTGGCTATTGCTAAAAATATACCCAAGCGACTTAAGACTGGTTTTGTGGTCCAGGGTCACATATGAGGAAAAAAACACCTTGATTTTATTCAGAGGCCCAAACTGAGTAATATATGCAGTTTAGTGAAGATGCTGATATTTATAAAACCAAAAAGTAAGTTGAGATTCTCACAGCTTGTAAACCAATGAGATCTTTATAAGAGCATAGCAGACTATTTACATAAAATACATATAAATATCATTTTTCACTCTGTATCTCCAATAATATGTCTTAGTGGGATGATATTTAAAAGCTTAGTTTTATGACCCAAAGCTCTGAAGTTTCAAAACATATCATGCGATGCAATGCATGACTGACAGATGAACAAATAAACATTCCTCAAAAAGCCTGACAATCATACAGTAGTTGATATTCACATCTAAACATGTTTTTCTAAAAAAATAAAAAATGACGTCTGGATAATCAAGTAAATCTGAGTTGCTTAAGTCCAGTAAGTGTTCATCTTGAAATATTACTAACAAAATAAAAGTCATTCTTATGTTTACTTTATAAAAGATTTCACAGCAAAAAGACATGTGAACTATCAGTCAGATGACAGAAGGCATGTAGTAGATTGTGTTCAACAGGTTTTGATCAGTTTTGATCATCTTGATCATTTAGAGGCCTTAGAAATTTGCATATCAAATATGAGACCGGGTTAAAGTTACATTGGTTGCTTAGTACAATAACATCAACAGCACGGACAGTTTGATTCCTCATGACCTCTTGAAGCTTATTTATGTCCTGAGTCTTAGAGTCTTCATTTGTCTTCATTTCTTCGCACCCTCTCTCGGATTTTAATATCTCTGTCTCGTTCTGTCAGGTGGACAATAACGTGACCCGTCATCTGGATGGCACTCTGAAGCGAGATGACTGGGATATTCTGATTCTGCATTATCTGGGTCTGGACCACATCGGACACATCAGCGGACCCCACGGCTCTCTGATAGGACCCAAACTCATGGAGATGGACGACATCATCAAGAAGATACATGCCTCGCTCATATCAAAGGTGTGGTGTTGTTTTACTAAACCTTTGCTCTTGACCTCTTCAACATCTCAGACCTGTCCTGAAGAAGCACTTTATGAAGCAGTCTGGTCCCACGGATCTACTCGCCATTCATTACAGTGCATGTTTGAGTGTTTCTCTGAGAACCTTCAGGGCTTTTTTGAAACCTTTGATATTTGCCTTCCTCATCTTTCATTTAGTGGAATCATATATCAAGTTCTTCTCCTCCACAGTTTTATCTGTAGCCAGTCTTGAAGTGTTTACTCTTTTTAGTGCCGTTTGCCAAGTCTGCCATCTTTATTACTATTGCTCATACTGAGGGTTATTGATTTGAACAAACCCCTGACACTAAGTATTAAACTTCAGTGTGCAACTGAAGCATTTTTGTTCTAGACATGAATGATCCCTTAAATCGGGTGCGTTTACTTTACTAGGTGATCAGATGCACAGTTTTCCCCTGCTGCATGATTAAACAGGTGAAAATATCCCACAGACACGCATTGAATATCATAGTAGACCAAAATATTGTAGGTTATGGGTGCACTCTTTTTACTTGAGCCTAGCAACCACATAGTAACAGCCTAGCAACTGCACAGAACAGCCTGGATTTATGACGTCTTCTGCAGGAGCAGCAACACTATTTTTTTTCCAGCCTGTCAGAGTGAGGCTCATTTTTCTCTCTCAGTTTTTTCCTGAAAAGTCTCCTCTCACTGTATTTTTAAGGACTAAGCAGTTCTTCTACATTCTGACCCAAATACAGATCTATTCCCAGCGGACCGTTTGCCTGATTTCAGCCACAGTTATTATAGTAAACGAAAACTGAAACTATTAAAAACATTCTTGTTCAATCACATACATATTCACATAAAGCTGAAATAAAATGGAAATATTAGATAAAAAACTAACTAAATGAAAATTAGAAGGCAACTAACTGAAATCTGAAGCACTAAAATCACTGTAAATTAATAAAAACTAAAACGGAGATAAAAATGTATTGAACATAAATAGTAATAGATAAAAAGCTAATAAAAAGGACAAAAGCACATAACAAAATTACTAAAAATAAAGTTTTAAACTAAAACATAAAAGCTATTAATAAAAACTATTATAGTATTTACAATAATACTAAAATAACAGTGGTTTCAACACTAGCAAACATCTACAGAATTGCCTCTCTCTCTGTCTTTCTATTGCTCTTTATTTTTTAAACCAAAACATAAAAAAAAAATGTTTTGGTATAGATTAATAGTGACGTTTCACGCTGAATTGTACTGTAGGAATGAGGCAAACAGTGGGGCGTTCACATTATAAATCTTATAGCTGCCATGGAAGCATTTATATGAGAGCTTAAAAAATGTTCCAGACACATCAGTTACTCTCATTTCTGTCATAAAAGTTCAATAATTAGGCGTAAAGCATCATTGTGACAACGGTGAATATAAAAATGCATAATTTTGTCCAAGACATCTTCTGTATCTCTCTTCAGGAAGTTTACTTTCTGTCAGTGACTCCGCTCTGGGTAATTACGTAATTATGTAATTATGCACATTGCACTATTTCGCTATGTGTCATTGGCCCTGACTGATTTGCTGTCTGATTTGCAGAATTAGCATTAGCCTGCTCATGCAGCCCACAGCATCCGTTTGGCAGAACATTCTGTTGCTCTTAAAGTCGTTTTTTGACTTTGCACTGCATCCAAACAAATGAAACTTTTAAATGTTTTAAATGTAATTACACTGCTCTGCATTATATCTACTGAATGAAATTCAATTCTTGTTTCTTACTAATTTTGTGTTGCTGATTCCAAAAATAGTGTCTGTTTTGTTCGAGCATGTCACACTTTCTTATAAAATTATGCATTTCATAGCATTTTTGCTTTCCACGATTTGAAAGGTGAGATCCTTTGCAGATTTTAAATTAAATTACACATTTTGAATACTTCTTTTAAGGGCCTAAAATTACCACTCACATAACATTTCCCTGCAGAATGTTTCCCTGCAGTTTTCTGCCAAAATAAAAGCTCTATAAAAGCTCTAAAGCTCTAGCTCTATAAAAAGTTCTATAAAAGCTCCACTTTACAGTTCAATAATATTATCATGCTATTTCTTTATTGTTTTAGTTTCCCCTTTTTATTCTGCCTGTTTTTAATAAAATAATTCACATACAGTTGGTAAATTTTCTCAAGTCACTGGCCATTGGCAGGTATGGCAAAATTTTAGTTTTAGGCCCAGCTGCTTTTTGTCATTTAAACCGAAAATTATGTTTTTGTATTTTATAAGTACATTAAAATTGATACATGTATAATTTGAAAAATCTATTTTTTGCATAAATAAATAGATAAATAAATAACATTTATTTTTTTAATATTTTTGGTAACATAGGTGCTGTGTTACCATTTCCCAAATTGCATGGAAAATGAATTTAGTAATTTCTAAAATGGGCAACCTCCTATAACCGGTGCTTCACACTGATTCGTGCATTTAATATGAATTACATTTGCTGCAACCTGCAAATGTTTTCACAAACACTAATTTTCTTTTTTTTTTGCATGGGAATTTCAATGAAATCGAGGAACGCTACACTATCAATAATGTCTCTAACAGAAATGCACCCACTTTTTTTCCGTCACGGGGCCTAAACACGCCTCTTGATTGGTGACATCTGTATAACCAGCTGCGTCCTACTTTAGCACCCCGCAGGCCTGCTGCCCATTATAATATCTGCATGTGAAATCTGTTCCCTCTGCAGGTGAGAGAGTTTAACTCCCTACAGGACCAGAGGAACACCGCAGCGCCCTGCAGTATGACACATCCAACACTCATTAATCATCAGCCCTTTATGAGAGATCTTATAGGAGCCATTAATGTAGGTTATTCAGAGCGTTGCCTTAAGTAACAATGAATTTTAGGACATGATAAAATGGTGCGTCAGTTAACATCTACAGCAAGAATGCACAAGAACAATCTGAGTTTTTAAAGGGGTTGTATCAAGAAGAAAAATCACATAACCCTGAGATAAAAGAGCTCTATGTACTATGATAACATGGTTAAATAAAAACTTTCTCACCAAAAAGAGAATTTATTAAAACTTAGTAATAGTAATAGTGATGTCACCCTTTAAATTTTTTTTTTTACAGTTTACAGCACGAGGTAAATAATAATTCAGTCATAATAAATTATAGACTTTCTGTTTCACATATATATAATAAATATATATTACAGTACATATATTATTTAATATTATATTATTGGAGTCTTCAGTTTCAAGCTCTTTTTTAAATATCATTAATATATTATAGTTTTTGTTAATATTTTGAATAATATTTTATTTTAATATTTTGTTTTTATTTGAATTTTTATTCAAGTTTTCATATTTTTTATTAGTATGAAAAAACTTTTTAATATTATTTTAATTAACAATAGTAACCCTGTTTTTTATTTCTCTCAGCGTTTTTTATTAGTGAATAAAAACCCTATAATTAACATTTACTTTTTCTTTCTTTCTTTCTTGAATTTTTTTCAAACAAAAAAATTATATAAAACATAATATACGAATACAATAAATGAGTTGCAACATAAATGAAAAGCCATATATAAGATGTTGTAAACAATAATTACAATATGTCAGAAAAGGAGCGTAATGAAGCAAATGCTTATTATTATATTATATTATATATATTTATTATTATTAGAATAATATTTATTATTTTAAATATTATAATAATGATATGATTAGAATTATATAATTCTAATAATAATAATAATATAATATTTATAAGGGGACCATACAGTAAAGAAAAAAAAAAGAAAATGTAATCATACATTAGTGCTATTGATTTCATATCCAGAGTCCATTTCTCTTAGTAACTTTAAAATAAGCTATTTTTAAGCCTCAACTATTTATTCTTGTTATTTAGGTTACCTGATAGTGATCTGTGCCTTTGCTTTACACCTGAGGATGATTAAAAGTCTGTTGCTATGGTTTCGAACTGCACTTCCTGTTTGCTGCCACACCAACAATGGAGCATATCAGGCTGGCATGTCAATTTTCAAGGTTCCTCTGTAAATCGACGGAAATATTCAGAGGTGCTTTTGAATAATGTTGTCGACTACAGCGTGAAATGATGTCTGGGATTACTGTTTCCTGCTATCAGGTTTTTTTGCCTTAAAACCTGAGTTTCTGTAGCGTAGTTCAATAGGAAATTGATTCCTCCCTGATATCCATTTGAATTATGCTCCGTATGGGATTGTTTGCATGTGACGGAGGGAAGAGGAACATGTGAGATGAATTTGGTGTCAGATTTTGAGGGATTCCCTGGAGGGCCGTATCGAGTCTGATGTTTTGTACTGCTGACAAATGCTGTTATACTAGAAATAATTTATATGATAGAGCACAAAATCAAATTTTTTCTATAAGATTTTGTGTTTGCAGACTAGTGGTCGACCGATATATCGGCCGATATTTGGCATTTTTCAAATATCGGCATCGGCCGATACGTTTTTCTGCCTGGCCGATGTGTTCGAGGCGGGACTTTTATTTTGACGGCAAGCCGGACTTATATTTTGACGGCGCTGAGAACGGCAGCGCCAGAGCACACAGTGCTCACATTCTCCCCCTTCTTTGTTTGTTGTTGTCGTTTAACAGTTCTGCCTAATACAGATAGAAGTCTATCTAATAAGATTGAACTGTTGAACAAATGAATTAAAAGGTATACAAAAAGTATTATAACGATTGCTTTTATATTATTAGTAACAGAAAGGCAGACATAATACTTTCTCGTTTGCCGTCAGCATTCAGCAAATACGCATATCATTTAAACAAACCTTTAAATGACTAATGAACATTTAATTTCACAAACCTTGCAGACTTAGTCGAATCCAGCTGTGAGATCTTGTGAAGTGTGCATTTGTATATTGCCTGATCGTGTGTGCTCTGCGTGACAGTCGATCCGTGTGAACTGAATCCGGACAGGAGGAGATTTCAGCTTCACTGGAGACTCGCGA